ATGACCGCCGAAAGCGTCGATGCCCAGGCAGCCCATCGTTTAGGACTACTGCAAGAGATCACGAAAGACGAACAGCTCTGGGCCCGCGCGAACGAGCTGGCAGGTATTTGCACACGAGGCGCTCCCGAGGCGTTGAAGCTCACCAAGAGCGTCCTCAACGAGACGATCGGCGAAGAACTTTCCACGATGCTCTCAGCCGGAGCCGCAGCAACCGCCACCGCTCGCACCACCGAGGCGGCCACCGAAGGTGTGAAAGCCTTCCTAGAAAAACGACCGCCGAAATGGCCCTAGCTCAACAGGCACAGCGAGCAGCAGGCGTTACCAAACCGCGGCTTCCGCGATATCACCGGGTGTAAGCCGCCCGTCGTGAAGTGCCGAGGCCACCAACGCTCCGTTGCAGCCGGCCTGATGCATCTTCCACAAGTCGTCGATTCCCCGGACACCTCCGCCGGAAACGATCTCCAACTCGTCATTGATCTGTCGCAGCATCCGGCACAGCTCCAGGGTCTTCACCCCGTCGGCAACGCCTACCTGGGCCAGGTCGAGCACGATCACACGACGTACGCCCATCTCAACAACCTCGCGGGCAATCGCTTCTGCAGTGGCCGAAGCCCAAGGGCTTTCCGAGTCCGCCACGATGGGGCGACCTTCTTTCAAGTCGAGACTGAAGACGAGTCGACCGTCGCCCACTTCGTCGATCAACTGGGCCAGCAACTCGGCCCGACCGACGGATTCGAGCCCGGCGATGATCGCTTCGAAGGGAGCCCCCGCACCGATCAATCGCTTGAATTGGGTGGCCCGCGCGACGTCGGCCAGCCCAGCATCGACCCACAGCGACAAACCGGCGGCCGCGATTTGACCATAGGTGTTCCACGCCGGTTGACCACCGGCAATGGCATCGAGATCGGCCAAGTAAGCCTGCGAAGCGCCAACCTTTTGCACCAGGGCATCTGCAACCGGGGCGGGCAATGCACTCGAAACCAAGTCGCTCTTGATCGGCTCGTACTCGTCGCGGCGCCCCGCTACACCGTGCACGACCTTGTCACCCTTGAGATCGATCACCGGAATCACTTGCATCGCTACACCTCCCTGTCTGCCAACCCGTGAGTCTACTTGAACTCGTCTTGCGCCACCGAGTCGCCGTACAGCGGCAAGTGCCGGTAGTAGACTTCCAGAATCATCGTGGCCAGCGAAGTGTTATAGAGGCGCCCCCCACTCTCGGTCGAGTGCCCAAAGTCGAAGTGCCAACTCCCATCCTCGTGGCTGCTGGGGTCGCGCACCTGGGTCTCGACGAGGTAATCTCGCATTTCCTGGTTCCAGCGATCCCACGGCTCGCCGCCGTAATGGTGCAAAACCTGGGTCGCATAGTAGTTGTAGTACATGTCCTTGTCCGAAGGGCCCAGCAGGCTCAGTCGCTCAACTCCACGCTTCAGCGCTTCGTTGTCGTGTTCCCACCCCAGGTACATCCGCATCAGCAGCCCAATGGCCGTGGTGCTAGGACGATCGCCGGGCGAGGCATATCCATACGCGGCTCCCTTGTCATCTTGAACGGTATTCAGAAAGTGATTCACCCCGGCGATCACGTTCTGTGGGATTTCGAGGTATCCCATATGCCCACTCTTCAAGGCCATAAGTTGCCAGCCCACCACCGAGGTGTCGCCCTGTTGCCCAACCCCGTATCGCCATCCGCCGCCATCCACGTCCTGGGCGTAGACGATGTAGGCAATCGCCCTTTGAGCCGGCAGTAAGAGGGCCTTATCTCCCGTCATGGCGTAGGCCTCGCAAATGGCGATGCTGGCCAGGCCATGCGAGTAGAAAGTTCCTCCATCGACGAAGGAACCGCCGTTTCGGTTCACGCGCTGATTGTTGAGCAGGTAGGCCAGGGCTCCCTTCACCACCTTCTTGTAGCTTCCTTCCTCGTGCGTCTGGCCCGCACCTAGAAAAGGCAAAACTCCCATGGCGGTCGCACCATTCAGCGCATTTCCAATCCGTCCCGAGTTCTCGCATTTACCCTGGCAAGGGCCACGCTGGTGTTGAAAGTCCCAGTTGCCTGCCTGAGTCTGATGACGCTGAAGCCAGTTTAGCGCTCGCGCGACGGCCTCCTCGCTCTGCTGATTTCCTCCGCCGTTGGCCACCAACTGCTGCCGCGACATTCCGTGTCGCCCTCCGACCCCGCCGGAGGCCGCATTGCCAACCACGCCGGTATCGACTTCGCCGACGTCGATCTCCACGGGGCTGATGTCGGCCAGTTCCAGACTGGGGGCAGGTGCCGGTTCTTTCAGTGCCTCGGTGATGTCGATCGTGTCGGCCGTGATCTCGGTCTCCAGCACGTCGATGGCTTCGACTTCGATATCCAGGTCTTCCAACTCTGGTTCAAGCTGCTCAATCTCCTCCGGCTCTTGCGATTTCAAGGCCGTCAGATTGGAAGGAATAGTCTTTGGCTTCGAGGGCAGATAAATCAGCCCCAGCAACAGCAGCACCAACGCATGCACCGCCAAACTGGAAATCCAGCCGGGCGAAGTGCTGAACCATTCGTTCAGCACGGTGCTTCGCGACTGGTATTCGTGGGCAGCCTCTTCGCCCAGAAAGGCCACGACAATCGGCTTCCGGTACATCATGGTGACCAGCAGCAGGGCGTAAGCCATCGAGGCCAATGAGACCGTAATCAACACCGGCATGCCTAACACCACGACCGCCGCGACGGAGAACGCCAGATCGATCACAATCACCGCCAACCCAACGCTAATCGCGAGCACCCGAGACCAACGCTGCACGAACCAGAAGCCAACGGCCGTTGCTACAAAGCAAAGCGAAGCGACTAGCGCCAGCCCGGCGAAGACTTTCAAGGTCGTACCGGCAACCTGCGAAAGCGGAACATCGTCGAACACGAGCGAGTAGACCGCTCCGTGGAACCACAGGTCGAAGGCCAGTCCGATCCCCGAGAGCCCCACAATCAGGTTCGCGATGCCCAGCAGGGTGACCGCCAGGGGACGGTTTCGCTCGAGGACGGGCTCCAGCAGGTCCGGTTCTGCGACCGGCGCCGCGGGCTCTGCCACTTTTTTTTGGCCATTCGAAACCGGCTGAGCTACCCGAGTTTCCATCGGTTCACTGGGCTGCGGCCGAGCCCGAGCCTGTTTCGTGGGATGGGGGTCGGTGGCCATGGGAGCCTGTTCGATCTCGAAATTGAGAATCTCGGTTCGCACTCAGCAAATCCTTGCCGCGCGAAACCAATGTCACACGAATGCGATCGGCCCTCTAGATGGCTCGCAAACCGGGCCCCGCCGAGTAAAAAGTGTACCGCAGAAGTCGGAGCCACGACGCCGCACCACTCCAAGGAGAGCCGTAACTCCTGCTATTCCAATATCTTAGCTGGACCATCTCGCCATGACAAGAAATTGTGGACATGGCCCTGGCCAAGAATCGGGGGGGAACGCTACATTAGGAGATTCGTTCAATTGAAAACTCGACGTTGAGAAGAGTAACTGCCCGGAGGTTCTGGCGTGGGAAAAGCGAAAAAGAAACTGGAAACGGTTTTTCTCGTCTGCGAGGAGACGGGCGACTACAACTACGCCCTGCGTCGCCGCTCGGGTGGTGAAAAGCTTAAGCTCAAGAAGTACTGCCCCCGCCTGCGTAAGCACACGCTGCACGTCGAGAAGAAGAAGTAGCCCTCTCTGCCATGCTGGCGGCTACGTCACTTTTCATTGGCCGCCAGATTCATCAGGGCACTAAGCAGTCTGAACCCTCGTGGTTACCTACTCGCTTCGTATGCCCCTCGGCTGCTAAGCCTACCTGCTGGGACTCGGCTGGCGTTTGAAAGCTGCTCGCTATAGCGGGCGTCCTTTTCAACTCCGGGACACACCGCGCAGCTGTGATCTCGCCTAAGCGACTCGTGCCTGTTGATAGAGTCGGTACCCGACTACAGATCGGTCTTAAAGATCCTGCGCGTGTCAGCCCAACGCCGACCGATGGGATCCAATCAGCAGATCTCGCAGAGTGTGGCAAAGCCTGCCCGTCGTTGGAGTCGCAACACGCCGCAGCAAACTGCCCTGCCCCAGTCTCGGGTTCCTGAGTACGTACTTCGCGAACGTTGCAAAAGGGCGAGACCTCGGATTACAACGTAGCCGTTCTGGCAACTCCCTGTCCTGAGGTTGAGGATGTGAAAATGACCTACGCCGAAATGATCTTGCCCGAGTTCGATCACGAAATGGCTAACACACGCAAGTTGCTCGAGCGTGTTCCAGACGACAAGCTCGCCTGGTCTGCCGATCCGAAAATGCAAACCATCGGCTGGAACGCCAATCACCTGGCCGAGATTCCCGGATGGGTCGAAGGCACGCTAACCCAAACCGAGTGGGACATTGCTCCGGCCGAAGGTGAACCCTACAAGTCGCCCAACTTTCAGTCGACCAAAGAGATTCTCGAATTGTTCGACAGCAACGTCGAGACAGCCCGCAAAGCGATTGAAGCCGTAAAGCAAGAAGACCTGGGCGTGATGTGGTCACTAGTCCAAGATGGCAAGCCCCTGTTCACCATGCCCCGTGCTGCTGTCATCCGTAGTTTCGTACTCAACCACACAATCCACCACCGCGCACACTTGAGCGTGTACCTACGCCTCAACGGCATCGAAGTGCCCCAAATGTATGGCGCGTAGCACCCACACTCCCGGTCGTTGGCCGCTTGCCCCCCAGAGAGTATCCTAGGTTCCAGATCCCAGGAGCCCATCCGCCACCAAAGCGCCCGTAGCTCAATCGGATAGAGCAGCGGACTTCTAATCCGCAGGTTGCAGGTTCGATTCCTGCCGGGCGTGCTTGTTGTTCTGGGAAGTGACGCCAGACTCTGGCGAAAAAAATGCCGCATCGCAGTGTCGATGAGCTTTGCTCGGGCGTCCTCCTCGGTGGGAGGCGACTCGACATTACGATGCGGCATGCGAAGGTTCTGCGTCGCGAACTTCGAGTATTCGCGAGATAATGAACGAAAGCTGCTCGACTGCCGGCTTGCTTCTAACGGCGGCGGCCAAAGAAACCGCGGCGGGGGCTGTAGCTCTTCGAACTATAGCTACGGCGGCCACCGATCACCGAGCCGGGGTTCGTCATGCCGGTGCGATAGCCGTTGGCGACGAAGGCGGCCGAGTTGTTGAATCCACGGAACGCGCCGGTGTATGGGGCGGCCTGCGCAGATTCTGTTGTCAGGAACAGCCCGAGGGCGAAGAAAAATGCCAACACGAACTTCGGGAGCAATTTGCGAATGCTCATGAGAGTCTCCGTATGGGTAGGTAGTACGAAGGAATGTTGGTGAACCGGAAACGCGGTACCCCACGCACCTCGTCTTCGCTGAAATGCCCCGTACTAATGGTACGAACGCCATCGCAGCAGGTTCACAACGAAAACGTGCCGGCGACCGCCAATGCCCTACCACGGTCTGGTGCCGACTCTTTTATACTATACGACACATCTCTCAAGTAAACAGTTCTGTTACCGCTTTTCCCCGTGCGATGGGGTGGGGACGATTCGATTGGTCGTGAATTAGCGTCTCTGGGTCCACGCCAAAGGCCCAAAAAATCGTGGCCGCCAAGTCACCAGGAGTGACTGGATCCAGATCGACCTGGGCTCCCATCTGGTCGCTGGCGCCGTAGACGTGGCCACCTTTAATTCCGCCGCCGGCCATGAGAATGCTGTAGCAGTCGGGCCAGTGATCGCGTCCGGCGTTCTGATTGATTTGCGGAGTGCGGCCAAACTCGCCCATGGCGATCACCAGCGTGGTATCGAGCAATCCTCGCTCCTCGAGGTCTTCGATCAGCGTCGCCAGCGACTGCTCGGCGATGGGAACAAGCACATCTTTGTGCTGTTTGAAGTTGTCTGCATGTGTGTCCCAATTCTGGCCCTGTTGGTAGAAGTCGTACACATTCACGAACGGAACCCCGGCCTCGACGAGCCGTCGGGCCATCAGCAGGTTCTGCCCTCGCATGTTCCGCGAAACGCCCTTCTCGGCACCGGTTCCGCCACCCAGGCTCGGTTCCTCTGCCCAACCATAACGATCGCGGATCGCAGGCGCTTCCTGCTCGATATCCATCGCCTGGCGAACCACTTTCGATTCCAGCAGGTCGTAGGCCTTCGTGTAGAGCGAATCGAGTTCCGAACTGACGCCCTGCGAGTTCAAAGGGCTATCGAACTGCGAAAGCAGCGAGCGACGCTTCGCGATTCGATCGATCGACAACTCGGCCGGTCGGTCGAGCATCTTCGAACTGTAGATTCGCTTCGTCGAATCGCACGTGATGAGGAACGGGTCGTATGCCGCGCCTAAGAACCCACCGCCCTGACAGGGAACGTCGATCACGTTGTGAATCTTGTGCGGTAGCGCTGCATGCGAAATATCGAGACTTCGATCTTGTCGCAAGTAACTCAGCGTCGATCCGTAGCTAGGGAAGAACTGCGGGATGGGGGCGAAGTTCTCCACGTCGCCGTTGGGTGGCTCCTTGCCCAGCAACACCATAGTCGATGCCGAATCGTGAAGCCGGTTGCCGTGCGTCATGCTGCGCACCACCGTCACCTTGTCCATCACGCGTGCCAAGTTCGGCATGTGCTCGCAAACTTGAATGCCTGGCACCGCGGTCGAAATCGGCTTGAACTCGCCGCGGATCTCCGATGGCCCGTCGGGCTTCATGTCCAACGTGTCGAGATGACTGGGCCCACCGTAATAGAAGACCAGAATGCAAGAATTCACACGTTGCCGAATGTTCGCCGTGTGAGATTGCCCAATGGCGGCCGCCCGAGCGAGCGTGAGTCCTGAGAAGTTGAGTCCCAGCGACAGCGGTGCAGTGGCTTTCAAAAAGTCTCGTCGCGATGGTCTTGGCGTGATCGCCATAGCTTCACCTCGGTAGGTGTTTCAAACCGAGCATTGTGCCCCATCCATCGCAATGAATTCCCGCCATATGAGGCACTTCGGTACGCCCGCAATGTAGCGGGAGTGGTGGGGAAATTCAATTTACGAAGCCCCTGCAGGCCTGATCAAGAAGTCGGTCACAAATCCTTCTTTAGACCGGCCGAGGTTCTAAAGTGATGCAACCCGAAGAGTATCACCAGCAGCCCCCCGGCGGAGGCCAGGAATGCGCTATCCCCATTCCCGCTGGTAAGTGCTCCACTGAGCACCCCCGCCCCCCAAAGCAGGCAACCAGACAACACGACGATCGAACTTGCGAGCAGGCCTTCGTGCATGTGATGTTTTCCATTGGTGTCATGGCGGCTGAGTCCAATGTATTGCGCGCTTATGAATCCTCAGCGTACGAAGTCATCAATCTTCGGCCGCGTTGTTTCCTTGTAGTCGCGCTCCAGGGTGTGCTCGCGGGCCAGAATTCCTTCGAGCCGGGCGACCACTTCGAGGTGTTGCTTCGCCACGTTGTGCTTCTCACCTAAATCCGTAGCCAGGTTGTAGAGTTCGACTTTGCCTTTCGACGATTTCAACAGCTTCCAATCGCCCTGCCGAATCGCCTGATCGTAACCATCACCGCGGGGATACTCCCAATAGAGGAACTCATGGGTCTTCTGTTCCCCAGTCCCTAACATGCAGGGCAACAGCGAGACGCCATCGGTCGGGGGTGGCTCCACATCGGCGACGGCTGCTAATGTCGGCATGATGTCGTAGAAGCAGATCGGCTGATTGTTGGTCGTACCCGCGGCAATTTTTCCCGGCCAGCGAGCGATGAACGGCACGCGAATCCCACCTTCGTAGAAGCTCCCCTTGTAGCCCCGCAGTAGTGCGTTGCCGTCGAAGAAGTCAGTCATGCCCGACCAGTTTCCACCTTGCCCACCATTGTCGGAAGTGAAGATGAACAAGGTATTCTCTTCGAGCCCTAACTCGGCCAGCAGATCGACCAACCGCCCGACATCCCGATCCATGCGACTGACCATGCCAGCGAACGTGGTGTATCCGTCGTCGGAACCAAGATAGCCCTTCCGCGGGTCCTGGATTGCGACCTTGGGGAAACGTCCCCGGTAGGGAAGCTCCGACTCCTCCGGAACCACCAACTCGACATGTGGGATGATGCACGGCACGTAAAGAAAAAACGGTTCATCACGATGATCTCGTACGAAGTCCATTGCCGCGTCGAACATCTCATCGTGCACGTATCGCGATTGGCTGCGGCCCTCATTCTCGGGCATCAAGAATCGCTCGTCGTTTTGCCAGATCCAATAGGGGTAATAGAAATGGGCATGCACCTGTTCGAGCTGCCCCATGAACGTGTCAAAGCCTTGTAGAGTGGCACGACCGGGAGTGTCTTCGTTGCCGAGGCCCCATTTGCCAAACGCTCCGGTGGCGTACCCGGCCGACTTGAGAACTTCAGCCACGGTGATGTCATCTGCATAAAGGTGCTTTCCGTACCCGTTGGCCCGCACGGGGGTGTGCCCGGTGTGCAAGCCCGTCATCAGCACACTTCGCGAAGGAGCGCAAACCTGCGACCCGGCATATGCCTGCGTGAACCGCATCCCCTCGGCGGCTAACTGATCGATCCGCGGTGTGTTGATCTTCTTCTGCCCATAGCATCCCAACTCGCCGTAGCCAAGATCGTCGGCCATGAATAGCACAATGTTGGGTGGACTGGCAGCGGCCGAGGAGAGATTGGGACCAAGCAACAACAGCGCGCTTAACGCAAAGTTCAATGCTGGGAACAAACAGGTCCGCATACGGTGGGGCTCCTCAGGAGCGTAGCGATCACAAAAACTCTACGGGGCAACGAATCTCCCGTAGAAGCTCGTCCCACATATAGCAGCCTGGGAGAGTGGATGCCACTTTCGATCTGCTCAAGATGCCGCATCGCGATATGGTTTGCGTCGCTGATAGACCTCGAGCCGGCTTTGATAGTCCGGCTTCAGCGGTGCAGCGACGAGTTCAATGGCCCTGGTCTGCCAATGCACGGCTTCGGCAAATCGCCCCGCCTGTGCATAGGCCGCGGCCAAGGTATCCAAGTAACCCGCGTCTTGGTATTCGGAGGCTTTACTGACCCTCTCGGCAAGCTGCACGGCCTCTTTGCCATTCCGATACTGCGGGTCATCGGTGGTGGCCAGAATCCAAGCCAGGTTGTTGGCGATATCCATCGCGTCGGGGTCGACTTCGAGTGCTCGGCGAAAGAACTCAATTGCTGTTCTGGCGACTTTGGCAGAGACACTACGACAGGGCCAGAAGCTGCTGAGCGATGTGGGACCAATTGTCGTAGCGGCGGTAGGGAATCGAATCGCTCTCGAGAATCTCTGCCAGGGAGTTTCGCGCGAAGCGAAGTTCAGGCTCGACCAGCATGGCCGCGTCGAAATCGGGACGACTGTCGCCTGCGTACGCTACCGTGGCTCCGGTTGCCTGAGCGGCCTTCACGATCGCCGCTTTGCTTACGCCTGCGATCTCGCTGTAAAAGGGTGAACCCACTGGCTTAGTCAGCCGCAACCCTTCGTTTTCAGTCAGTTCTCCAGGGTTGGCCACAATGGGCACGTCCACACCGCGTTCAGCCAATAGCCGGCTGATGTACCACTCGCTGCCGATTGAGGCCACCACCACCTGCCAGCCTTCGCCTTTCAGTTGCTGCATAGAACTGGCGAGATTCGGATCGAGCCCACCCCGTCGGGCGATCTCCATGACTTCCTTTTCATCGCCGCGGATCGACGCGAAGAGGTTCTGCAGCACCTCGAAAACCGTGATGTGACCATCCAGGTGCATCTGCCAGAAATCGGGTGTGTCCTTAGGCAGCAAGGGGTCGACCATGATGTAGAAATCGCGGTCGGTCATCGTTCCATCGAAATCGCTGACGAAGACCCGTTTCGCCCCCTGAAACATCGATTCCACATCCATGGGATCCAGATCCTTTCGTTCAGTCACACCCAGTTCGCTCGCTGCACGAAAAGTATACGGCAGAACGCCCCGTTATTCCGAGGGGCGCAAGCAACCATAACTAGAGTGAAGTGTAGCCACCGGGTGAAAGACTGGCGACCGACCAATGAAAGGCTCACTTTGCGCAGCGGCGGTCGTAAGCGACTCTGCTGCCCCGCTGCCCTAGTTCAGCCGCAGTTAGCAACGCTGAACCTCTGGGGGGAACAAAACCCTACAGAGGGTGATGCGGCAGGCGACGGGGATACGGCGGGGCTTCGTGCGGAGGCAGGTATTCTTCGGTCTGCTCGGCCCACATCTGACGCTCTTCTTCGTTCGCGTAATAGCGAAGCCACACGTCTGGGTCGCCCCCGATATCGGCACAGTCCCAGTGCAGGAAATGCCGCGAAGATTCGATCTTTTTCTCCGGCGACGGCAAAATGTCGCGGTAGATCATGCAATACAACTGTCGATCGGTCAGGTGATCGGTAAAATCGAGAACGATCCGCTTCGAATGAAGCTGGCGAATGATCTCCCACAGCTTGTCGTGAATCTGCTCGTCGTTGAGCAGCGACAAGTGAGGCATTTCCAGCGGAGGATCGAACCACTGAGCGATCGGCAGCACGGGAGCACGCTCCCAGGCCAGCATCGACGCCAGGTATTCGTTCTCTCGCGGAGTCGGCAGCGAACGCAAATTGATACGTTCGATCGAGTCATCGAGAAACGGTTCCAGCTCCTCACGCAGTTGTGCGTTGAGCAGCAGGTGTTCGACTTCGGAAGTAACTGACTGATGTGGATCTGACATGTGAAGCAGGCTCTATGCTAAGCGGCTTGCCGATGTTCAATGCAACCTATAAGAATCGACTCTACCAACAATCAACCCACGTGCAAGAACAAACAACCGCGCTTGGCCCAAAGACTTTAGCGCGATTGTCCCAGGATCCATACGATCATGCAGCTCGACCCCGCGCAATTGGCGCAAACGTTAAACTCGCTCAAGAAATCGATCGCCGGCGATGTGTTCGTGGACGAGTACCACCGGGCTTTGTACAGCACCGACGCTAGCATGTACCAAATCGCCCCCCGGGCCGTGGTTGTGCCCCGCTCGGTAGATGATGTCCGCGGCACCATCGAGTGGGCCGCCGAACAACAGATCCCACTCGTCCCCCGGGGAAGTGGTACAAGCCTCTCAGGCCAATCAATCGGTCCCGGCATCGTGATCGACTTCAGCAAGTACATGAGTTCCATTCTGGAGCTGGACCCCCAGCAGATGATGGCACGCGTGCAGCCAGGCGTCGTGCTCGATCAACTCAATGCCGCAGCAGCACCGCACGAGTTGCAGTTCGGCCCCGACGTGGCCACCAGTAGCCGCGCCAACCTGGGTGGCATGCTTGGGAACAACTCGGCCGGCGCCCGTTCTGTGCGTCACGGAAAGATGGTCGACCACGTAGCAGAGCTGACTGCGTTTCTGGCCGATGGTTCTGAGATCACCCTAGGCCCAACCTCCCCCGAGCAGCGAAAGAACATCATCGCCGCCGGCGGTTCCCTCGCCCACATCTATCGCCAAGTCGAACAGATCGTGGCGGCGAACCGCGATGAAATCATTAAGCGCTTCCCCCGCGTGCTACGCCGCGTGAGTGGATACAACCTCGACGAGTTTGTGCCTGAATGTCGCGACTCAATGCCGCGTTCGCCAAGCGCGAAGGCGGTTCGCGATCGTCGGGTAGCCCGCGATGCGGCGGCCGACATGAATCTGGCTCACCTGGTCGTCGGAGCGGAAGGCACGTTGGCCTGCGTCACCGAGGCCCTGGTCGAACTGGTGCCCCGCCCCCGAGTTCGCGCGGTGCTCGCCTTGCACTTCGAGTCTATCACCGATTCGGTGGGCAGTATCAATCGCCTGCTCACGTACAACCCTTCGGCCGTAGAACTGTTCGACGGGATGATCGTCGACATGGCCCGCGGCAGTCTGGAGTACAGCAGCTACCTCGACTTCGTGGTTGGCAATCCTAAGTCGCTGGTGCTGATGGAACTCTCTGGCCAAACCGATGGCGAAGTTGCCGACGCGGTCGATGGCTTGCAGAAAGAGCTGCGCGATCTGCCAGGGCTCACGCATACCTTGGTCGCGCTCGACCCCAAACAATGCGAACACATTTGGGCCTGCCGCAAAGCCGCACTGCCGCTACTGATGGGCGTGCCGGGAGCCCGAAAGCCCATCGCCTTTGTGGAAGACACCGCGATCGATCCACCACGGATGCCCGAGTTCGTCGTACGCTTCCGCGAAATCCTCTCGGCCAACAACACCGACGGGGCAATTTACGGACATGCCTCCGTGGGCTGCTTACACATCCGCCCCATGCTCGACACCCGCGACCGCGAAGATGTAGAACGACTGAAACGCATCTCCGAAGATGTCTGCGACCTGGTAATCGAGTTCGGAGGTGCGATGAGCGGCGAGCACGGCGACGGCATCGCGCGAAGCTACCTGAATGAACGGCTCTTCGGCCCTCAGCTTTATCAGGCGTTTCGAGAAGTGAAGGCCGCGTTCGACCCGCACAACCTGATGAACCCCGGCAAGATCGTCGATGCCCCCGGGCCGACCGATCATTTGCGCCACCCGCCCACAGAAAAGCCGCTCGAACTGCCAACCGTGCTCGACTTCAGCGATCAAGGCGGGCTGCTCGCAGCCACCTCGCTTTGCAGCGGTGTGGGGGTCTGCCGCAAGCTGGGCTCAGGCACCATGTGCCCTTCGTTCATGGCCACTCGCGATGAAGAACACAGCACCCGCGGTAGAGCCAACGCCCTTCGCTTAGTACTCACCGGAGCATTGCCCAAAGAAGAACTGACGGGCAAGCGAATCTACGACACGTACAGCTTGTGCCTGCAATGCAAAGGCTGCAAAGGCGAATGTCCCTCGAACGTGGATGTGGCCCGCCTGAAATCGGAGTTTCTTCACGGCTACTGGCAGCAGCACGGCACCCCACTGGGCGTGAAAGTCATGGGCAACATCGCCCGGCTGAATCGCATCGGGTCGGCTTTTGCCCCGCTGTCGAATCTGGTTGCCGCTTCCGCACCCAATCGCTGGTTGATGGAAAAGCTACTGGGCATCGATCGCCGCCGCTCACTTCCGCCGTTTAGTCACGACACGTTCCGCGGCTGGTTCACTCGCCGCGACGCCACACCCCGCGAGGTTAAGCACGGCGATGTGGTGCTGCTGAACGATTGCCTCACCGGCTATAGCGAGCCCGGCATTAATCGCGCGGCTGTCGAGGTGCTCGAAGCTGCCGGCTATCGCGTTCACCTGGCCGACCTCCCCTGCTGTGGTCGCCCCATGATTTCGAAGGGACTTCTCCCCCAAGCCCAAGAATTGGCCAGGCAAAACATCGAACGCCTGCTCCCCTTCGTCAAAGCCGGCATGCCCATCGTGGGCTGCGAACCAAGCTGCATCGCGACCCTGTTCGACGAATACCCGCAGTTGGTCCCGAGCGACGACGCCCGGCTGATTGCCTCGCATTCGAGACTGATTGAAACCGAGCTGCAACGCACCGGCGCCGAGTTGCCACTCAACGAGAGCAATACGCAGGTAGTTCTACATGGGCATTGCCATCAAAAGGCGCTGGTGGGCATGAGCGCCACGCAGGCCATGCTCGGTGCCATCCCGGGGGCCGAAGTGAAGACCCTCGACTCTGGGTGCTGCGGCATGGCAGGCTCGTTTGGTTACGAGCACTACGACCTAAGCATGCAGATTGGCGAACGAGTGTTGTTCCCCGCCGTTCGCGAGGCCCCCGACTCGGAGATCGTGGCCCCCGGAACTTCCTGCCGGCATCAGATTGCCGACGGCACAGGGCGGCATGCCCTGCACCCCATCGAGTTCGTTGCCCGCCACCTGAAAGAACACAAAGACTAGAGCACCAAGCCGTCGGAGAATGCGACTTAGCTCGGCTCTGAGCAATCGATATCGTGTTCCAGCTTGGTGATCTTCTCGACACGACGGGCGTGGCGCCCGCCTTCGAACTCGGTCTTAAGCCAGATCTCGACCATGCGGTCGATCAGCTTTTCACCCAACATGTCGGCCGAAAGGCAGAGCACGTTCAGGTTGTTATGCCTGCGGCTCATCTCGGCCGTTAAGTCATCGTGGCACGATGCGGCCCGAATTCCTGGCACTTTGTTGGCGGCGATGCACATCCCCAGCCCACTACCGCAGATCAAGATACCTCGATCGCATTCGCCTTTCGCCACGCGGTGCGCAACATCGGCCGCAATGTCTGGATAGTCGACGCTCTCTGTGTCATCGGTGCCCACGTCGATGACCTTGTGGTCCAACCGTTTGAGCAGCTCGACAATTTTCGTCTTTACTTGATATCCACGATGATCGCTACCAATGGCGATTTGCATCGTCTTTCTCCCCTAGCCCCATGTTTCCACCGAGTTTGTCGAAACGCTCTTCGACCTCACGATTTTGTTATAGGTAAATGCTCGAGCCAGGGCCCGAGTTCAGCTTTGATTTGTGCGGCACACTGTTCGTATAGTTCAACCGGCCCGCCGATTGGATCGGCCACATCGCCACCGCTTTGCACCAGTGCGAATGTACGACGGCCGGCGTCGGGCCATTCGCTAACGATCGCCTCACGATGCGAACGGGTCATGGTCAAAATCAAATCGGCGTGGCGAACCAACTGCGGCGTCAGTGGTTGGCTTTCGTGGTTCCGCAGATCGAAGCCTAGAGAATCGCAAACCGACACCGATTCGGCACTGGCCCGACCTCCCATCATCGCCGCAATGCCGGCCGACATGATGATGATGCCGTGATCCTCAACTTCTTCTGGTTTACAGCCAATTTTCTCGGCAATCATATGCCGAAAGATCATCTCGGCCATCGGGCTACGACAGGTGTTGCCCGTGCAAACCAGCAACACCATGAAGCCCGACAGTCGTTTCAGCACCTGGTCTGAAACCACCCCCGGACGAATAATCTCGTAGTTCTCGTTATCCACCTTCACCACCGAAGCCGGCTGAGCGAAACGGCTCCGACCGTCATCCAACACCATCTGCACGTTGCCATCGAGCGCTTGTACCACCTCTTCGGCGGTGACCGACTCGGCCGCTCCGCTTCGATTCGCACTGGCAATAGCCACCGGCCCTGGCAGAAGTCGCAGTACATCGAGGATCACCGGGTGCGCTGGTGAACGCAGTCGCACCCGACCGTCGGTGGCGATCAACTCGCGTACCGACTGGGGCAACTGCTGAATCAACCCCTCGGGATGCCGATCTTCGACCAGCAACGTCACCGGGCCCGGCCAGCAGCGGCGAGCCAAACGTTGACCCAACGGGCTCAAATCTGGCACATAGTCCAGGGCATCTTCGGCACCCTTCACGGCGAGGGCCAACGACTGATCTGCAACATCGCCCCGGGCGGCAACCAACTGGTCAACCGCTTCTTCGCTCAACGCGCTTGCGGCGAGTCCGTACACCGTCTCGGTCGGAAAGGCGACCAATCGCCCTTCGGCCAGAGCCTGTACGGCACGGTGCACCACGTCGCGCAAATCTTCCGCACTGCGGATGTCAATTACCACGGGAGGCATAGCGAAATGAGCCAGACGTTTTTCAATCGGAGGGCGGCGGTACGATCAGGCGATTGACTGAATCAGCCGCGCGCACCGAGAACGCTACGGACCTTCGAATTCATGCTGCCCGATATAATCCATTACGATAACGGATGTTACGTGCGATCGTCAAGCAGCTACCAAGCCGGAGATGTAGTCTAAAATACGCCACTCCACATGGCCCCGTGGGCCTTTGACTTGCAACTTCTATGTCTGACCGACAAGTCGCTGCAAAGAAACCATCCCCCACCCAGAAAGTCGCGCAACGCCCAAGTTTTGCAATCAACTTGCTATGGCGGGAAATTCCGCCACGATGAAGGCAGATCTTGAAACGGCACTCGCATACTTACGCACTAGCGTAGGTTAATGTCATGCCGTTTAGGGGCACCACTTCCATGGGCTCAAAGCGGGACAGACTCTTGCAGAGGAATGCATCTCTCCGTCGGGGCGGTGTCGTCTCGGCGCGGTTGATACTTGCTGCCGTCGTCTTGGCAATCACTGCCATGGTCGTGGTACGCGCCTCCGGGGTGGCCAACGTGGGCCCCAGTGAGGGAGAACTCCTTCAAGTTTGGGGACGACGAGGGCTTGGCGACGGACGCCTGCAAAAACCCCGGGCCATGGCCATTCACAACGAAGAATTGTACCTCGTCGACATGACGGCCCGCATCCAGGTTTTCGATTTCGAGGGCAACTACCTGCGGCACTGGCAAACCCCCACCCACGCCAACGGGCGCCCCAGTGGGCTCAGCTTCGACCGTGAAGGTCGCCTGCTGGTGGCCGACACGCATTACTACCGCGTGTTGATCTACTCCCCCGAGGGCGAACTGCTCGACTCCCTGGGTGGCGTCAACGGTCAACAGCCGGGCGAATTCGGCTTCGTCACCGACGCCGTGCAAGACTCGCAGGGCAACTACTTCATCGCCGAGTACGGCGAGTTCGATCGCGTGCAAAAGCTGGCCCCCGATGGTACGTTTATCCTCCAATGGGGCGGGCATGGCGAACAACCGGGGCAGTTTCTCCGGCCGCAAAGTCTGGCCATCGACGATCAAGATCGAATCTGGGTTGCCGACGCCTGCAATCATCGAGTGCAAGTTTTCAACACCGACGGCGAATTACTCTTCCACTGGGGCACCGAAGGCACCGAGCCGGGACAGATGCGATATCCCTACGATCTCGTGCTCGATCCCCAGGGCAATGTCTACATCAGCGAGTTCGGCAATCATCGAATCCAGAAGTTCACTTCCGATGGGGAGTCGCTGGGATGTTGGGGAACCTTAGGACGGCAGCCCAGCGAATTGAACACCCCCTGGGCCCTGGTCCTCGACGATGACCATCGAGTACATGTCCTCGACACCCTGAATCATCGCGTGCAGTGCGTTTCGTTCTAACCGCTTTGAAAGCTTGAACACTTAAATCCCACCGGGTCCGCGTGACACCGCCATGTGGCAATACCAACTATCCTTCGATCACCCTTGGTATTTGGCGCTGCTGATCGTGCTGCCGCTGATGTGGTGGTTCAGCTTCCGCAGCCTCGCCGGGCTAGGTTCGGTTCGCCGAGCGGTGGCTATCACGCTAAGAACGCTCGTCTTCGCCCTAATCATCTTGGCCCTGGCCGAAGTGAACCTGGTTCGTACCAGCGACCGCCTGACGGTGATCTTCCTCCTCGATCAGTCGTTGAGCATTCCGGCCGATCGTCGGGAGGCGATGATCGATTACACCAACCGCGCGATCGAACAGTATCGCGAAGAAAACAACAAGACGGGAGTGATCGTCTTCGGCCGTGAAGCTGCGATCGAGATCCCGCCGTTCGACGACGACATCCAAGTCCCCCAGGCCATCGAGAGCACTCTCGACCCCGAATACACAAACCTCGCCTCCGCCCTCAAGCTGGCTCAAGCATCGTTCCCCGAAGATGCGGCGAAGCGGATCGTTGTCATCAGCGACGGCAATCAGAACGTTGGCGACGCCCTGGAGCAGGCCGGCATCATGGCCGACTCGGGGATTGGTATCGATGTGGTGCCCGTTTTCTACCAGAGTCGCTCGGAAGTAAGCGTCGAGAAAGTCTCCACACCGGCCGACGTTCGCACCGGCCAACCATTCGACGTACGCGTGGTGCTCAACAACTCGGCCGAGCCCACCGCTGAGGACAATGGAGAAGTTCAGGGCACGCTGCGAATCACCCGCAGCGTCGAAGGGCGACCGCAAACCGTCACCGATCAGCCCATCACCCTGCCCCCAGGCAAGCATGTGCTCACCGTCCGGCAAGAACTGGATCAACCCAGCTTCTACACGTTTGAAGCCCGATTCTTGCCCGAGGATCGCGACGACGACCGCATGTCGCAGAACAACCGCGCCACGAACTTCACCTACATTCGCGGCAGCGGGCAGGTGCTGTTCATCGAAGATCACTTGCACCGGGGTGAGTTCGACCTGCTCGTCGATCGCTTGCGCCTACAGGAACTCGAGGTTACCGTTCGCCCCACGAATCAGCTCTTCACTAACCTGGCCGAGTTGCAACCGTACGACACGGTGATTCTGGCCAACGTGCCGCGTGAGCTATTCACCGACGAACAGATCGACATGCTGGTGCGAAACACCGAGCAGATGGGCTCCGGCATCATCATGCTCGGCGGCCCCAACAGCTACGGGGCGGGAGGCTGGACCAACACCGAACTGGAAAAGGCCATGCCGTTGGACTTCCAGATTCGCAACCCCAAGGTCGTCCCCAAGGGTGCCCTGGCCCTGTTGATGCACGCCTCGGAAATTGCCAAAGGCAACTACTGGCAGAACGTGATTGCTCGCGAGGCAATCAAGGCGCTCGGCCCTCAAGATTACTGCGGGCTGCTGCACTGGGGAGCACTCGGCGAAGAGTGGCTGTGGCTGGGTCAATCGGGCCACGGCATGATTCCGATCGGACCTAATCGCGACAAGATGCTCGCCCGACTCTCTCGCATGACCCCCGGCGACATGCCCGATTTCAACCCTTCGTTGATCATGGCCCGTAAGGCATTCAATCAATTGCCCGACGCCGCCATTCGCCACATGATCGTCATCAGCGACGGCGACCCCACACCGCCAACCGCAGGTGTCGTCACGGGGCTCATCAATGCGAAAGTAACCGTCACCACGGTGGCCGTCGGCTCCCACGGCCCCGCCGGGCACGTCGAGCTACAGAAGCTGGCCACGGCCACCGGCGGCAAGTACTACAAGGTGAATCAGGCCAAGGCACTGCCGAAGATCTTTCAACGCGAAGCCCGTCGTGTAGCACGACCGCTGATTTTCGAAAATCCAGACGGCTTCAATGTGGCCATTCGTTACCCACACGAAATGATCAGCGGGATCGATGAACCCATCCCGCCGCTCACCGGCTTCGTGATGACCACGGTGAAGGCCAACCCCTTGGTCGAAGTCGAGTTGGTCGCCGAAGTGAGCGAAGACGAAGCGAACAACTCCATTCTGGCCAGTTGGACTTACGGCGCCGGCCGCGCGGTCTGCTTCACCAGCGACGCCGGCGCACGCTGGGCCAACAGTTGGACCAACTGGGACGGGTACGACAAGTTCTTCAGCCAGATGGTCCGCTGGTCGATGCGGCCTGTTGGGCAACAGGGGAACTACTCGCTATCGACCGATGTCGAATCGGGAAAAGTCCGTGTCGTGGTCACCGCGCTAGATAAGGAAGACGAATTCCTCAACTTCCTCGATCTGAGCGGCGCCGTGGTGGGGCCCGACATGCAGCCGTTGCCGCTCCGGTTGGATCAAACAGCTCCCGGTCGCTACATCGGTGAGTTCGACGCCACCGATGCGGGTAACTACTTCATCACGCTCAGCCCCGGTGCCGGCCAGGCGCCGATTCGTGCCGGCGTGAACGTCCCCTACTCGGCCGAGTTCCGCGATCGCACGACGGACGAGCCGCTGCTCGAGATGCTGGCCGGCATGGAACCCGTCGGCGGGGAACGCGGACTTGTGATCGAGTCGGGCACATCAGGACAAATGGACGACGCTTTAGCCTCGTGGTTGGCTACCGATGTTTTCCGCCCCGGCCTGGCAAAAGCTGAAAGCAGCCAGGGCATTTGGTACCTACTGGTGTTCGTAGCCAGCTGCCTGTTCTTTGGCGACGTGCTAATCCGTCGGGTCAGCATGAGCCTGACTTGGGTCCCACCGCTGGTTGCCAAAGCCCGCGACCGGTTGCTGGGGCGAGAGACAGCACCCGCGGCCACGCAATACATGGATCGGCTGAAGAGTTCGAAAGTGCAAGTGTCCGAGCGAATCGAAAAACAAAGGGCCGCCGTTCGCTTCGAGCCAAGCGAAGAAGCAGCTTCCTCAACCGAAGTTTATGAAGAGCTACCCGAGGCGGTGGAAAAGAAACCGCCACCGAAACCGGCCACCGGCGGCATCGAACAGCCCCAGGCCGAAGAAGAGGGCTACACTAGCCGGCTGTTGAAAGCCAAGAAGAAAGTATGGGAAGATCGTAAGCAGGACTAAACGTTCATCACCAGCAGAATGTAATGAAGCGGCCTCGAGTAATCGCGGCCAATCGAAATAAACAACTGCCACCTGGGAAGGGGACACTATGAGCGTGGGCGATTCGATGCAACAACGGGCCGAAAGGTTCGCCCAACGATACGAAGCCGTGCGAGAACAAATCAGTCGGGTTATCGTCGGTCACGACGAAATCGTACACGGCGTGCTCACCTGCATGTTCGTCGGTGGCCATTGCCTGCTGGAAGGAGTCCCCGGACTGGGCAAAACCCTGCTCATTCGCACCCTCGCCCAATCGTTGAATCTCGACTTCTCCCGCATCCAGTTCACCCCCGACCTCATGCCGGCCGACATCCTCGGTACCAACATGGTGATGGAAACTTCCGACGGCAAACGGGTGTTCGAATTCCAACGCGGCCCCATCTTCACGCAAATCTGCCTGGCAGACGAAATCAATCGCGCCACGCCGAAGACGCAATCGGCCATGCTCGAAACCATGCAAGAAGGCACCGTCACCAGTGGCGGACACCGCTACCTGCTCGAGAAGCCGTTCTTTGTGATGGCCACGCAGAACCCCATCGAGCAAGAAGGCACCTATCCCCTGCCCGAAGCCCAGCTCGATCGGTTCATGTTCAAGCTGGTTGTGGGCTATTCCACCCGCGAGCAACTCTCGACCATTGTCGATCGCACCACTCGCGGCGAACTGATCGAAGCCGAGAAAGTGATGGACGGCAACGAAATCATCGAATGGCAACACCTGGTCCGCGAGGTGGTTCTCGCCAGCCACGTGCAGGACTACATCGTTCGTCTCACGCTGGCCACCCATCCCGAGGGAGAGTTGGCCGTCGATATCACCAACCAATACATCCGCTGGGGGTCGAGCCCCCGTGGGGCCCAGACCTTGGCCCTGGCGGCAAAAGTTCGGGCACTGCTCGAAGGTCGCTACAACGTCAGCTACGAAGACGTACGACGGGTATTCCTTCCCGCGATGCGGCACCGCATCCTGCTGAACTTCGAGGCCCAGGCCGAAGGAGTCGAGCCCGATAGCATCCTGCTCGAAATCCTGGAGAAAGTGCCCGAGCAACTTAAAGGCGATCAAGCGGCCTGATGTTGCGTATCACTACTAGCGATTGCCTTGCACCCGTGGCTCATTCCTCCCGCTTGGTTTGCCCCTGATGTCGACGACCGAGAATGCTTTACTGTCGCCCGAACTGCTGCACCGGCTCGAACGCCTCGAGTTGGTGAGTCGAAAGATGTTCCGCGGCAAGTTCAAAGGCGAACGCCGCAGCCGCCGCAAAGGGCAGAGCGTCGAGTTTGCCGACTTCCGCAATTACGTGGCGGGCGACGACCTGCGGTTCATCGACTGGAACACCTACGCCCGACTAGACCGGCTGTTCTACAAGCTGTTTCTGGAAGAAGAAGACCTGCACTTTTACGCCTTGATCGATGTCAGCCGGTCGATGGAGTTCGGCGATCCGACCAAGTTCCGCTGGTCGCAACAGTTGGCTGCCGCCTTGGGGTTCATCGGGCTGATTCGCTCCGACCGCGTCCGCATTGAAACCCTGGGCTCTCGCGTGCCGCACCCCAGCCCCATCCTGCGGGGACGCAGCAGTGTGTGGCGGTTGATGGAATACATCAACTCGCTGGAAGTGGCCGACGACGCGATCGGGCTAACCGAAGCCGTCCGACAGTTCAGCATTCGCAACTCCAGCCAGGGAATCGTGGTGCTCATTAGCGACCTGATGGACAAGCAGGGTTATGAAGATGCCCTGCGTTATCTTCTGGCCGCCCGCATGGACGTCTACGTGATTCACATCCTGTCGCACGAAGAGATGCACCCCGAGTTAAAAGGCGACTTGAAGCTGGTCGATTGCGAAGACGCCGACGAAGCGGAGATCACCGTTAGCGGTCCCCTACTGAAACGCTACCAGCAAACCCTACAGGCATTCCTCGGCGGGGCTCGCGACTTCTGCGGCCGCCGGGGGATCGTGCACCTCACGGCCCACAACCAAATGCCGGTCGACCAGTTGATTACAAACTATCTGCGACGTCGGGGGCTGGTGCGGTGAGCGGATTCCAATGGAGCCCCCTGCTGAGCGGCCCCATGTTGGCGGTGATGGCCCTCATCCCGCCGGCAATTCTTGCACTGTACTTCCTCAAGTTGAAGCGAGAACCGCTGGAAGTGCCCAGCACCTTCTTGTGGCACAAAGCCATCGAAGATCTGCACGTTAACAGCCTGTGGCAACGACTGCGCCGCAGCCTGTTGCTGCTGTTGCAGTTGCTCATCATTGGGCTGATCATCCTGGCCCTGCTGAACCCAACCTGGCAGGGGCAGGAACTGCCCGGTGATCGCTACATCTTCCTGATCGACAACTCCGCCAGCATGTCGGCCACCGATGTGGAACCATCGCGGTTGGAATCGGCCAAACGTCAAACGGCCGATCTGATCGATCAGATGAAACCCGGCTCGGCAGCGATGATCATCAGCTTCTGCGATGTGGCCCGCGTGGAGCAAAACTTTACAACCAATCGCAACGAGTTGCTGCGGCGGCTCGAAGCAATCAAGCCCACAGCCCGCTCGACCGAAATCCGCGAGGCCCTGCTGTTCGCCGCGGGGCTGGCCAACCCAGGCCGCACTTCCACTGATGCTGGCGACGTACAGATTGCCGAAGCGCTCGATGCTGAGTTGTACATTCTCAGCGACGGCAAGATGCCCGCGGTCGACGACTTCAACCTGGGCAACCTCCGCCCCACGTTCATCACCATAGGTAAGCCGGAAGCCTCGAACGTGGCCATCGCGGCGTTTAACACCCGCCGCAAAGAACGCGACCCGGAGGCCTTAGAAGCCTTCGCCCGCCTACACAACTACGGGCAACAAGACGAAGAGGTTGTCGTCGAGCTGTGGCAAGACGACCAGTTGATCGACGCCAGCCAGGAGACATTGGCCCCCGGCGAGAGTTCCGGCGTGGTGTTCCCCTTGGATGAGCTTGAAGAGGGAGTGCTGGAACTACGCGCGTCCACAGAAGACGACCTTTCCCTCGACAACGTTTCCTGGGCGACCATCAACCGCCCGCGCCCAGCCCGCGTGCTGTTGCTCACCCCGGGAAATCAACCACTGGAGTTCTCATTAACCACCGAGCTTGCAAAGCGCATTGCCGAAGTGACGATCGAGTCGCCCGCCTTCATGCAGACCGAGGACTACCGCCGCGCGGCGGCCAGCGGGGCGTTCGATCTGGTGATCTACGATCGTTGCACCCCGGAAGCGATGCCGCAGGCAAACACGTTCTTCATCGGCACATTGCCCCCGGGCGGAAACTGGACGGCGGAAGATCAGGTTGATGTGCCAGTGATCATCGACACCGATCAATCGCACCCCATCATGCAGCTAATTGAGCTGGGCGATGTGGACATTGTCGAAGGCCGCCCGTTGAAAGTTCCACCCGGCGGTACGGTGCTCATCGAAACTCAAGCCGGCCCGATGTTGGCCATCGCCCCCCGCGAAGGCTACGAAGATGCCGTGCTGGGCTTTCGCCTGCTCGACGATGACGGTATCGACACCAACTGGCCACTGCGTCTGAGCTTTCCACTGTTCGTCATGAATACGCTGAACTATCTCGGCAATCCGCAAGCCGGGCAGTTTGGCGACTCGACCCAACCCGGCGAACCGCTGGCGCTGGAAGGTCCACCGGGCGTCGATGAAATCACCGTCCGCACACCAGAAAAGGAATCAGTTCGCGTGCGTCGCGGCAACCTGGGGGTGTTCAACTTTTCCGGAACCAACGACCTGGGGGTTTACGAAGTTGACGAGGGCGAGGACACCACGGGGCACTTCGCTGTCAACCTTTTTAACGCAGACGAGAGCAATATCCGCCCGCCGGAAGACAATTCCGTAAGTATCGGCCATGTCGAAATCGCCGGTCAGTCGGTTCCCCGCATCGCCCGCACGCAGGGTTGGCGATGGCTGCTGCTTGCAGCACTGGTGATCCTGATTGTGGAGTGGTATATCTACAATCGTCGCGTTTATTTGTAGCCACCGGCACAGCATGTGCAATTCAGCTTCATTCGTGACATTCTCAAAGCATCGACTCCAACTCGCTGAGCCATCGCTATGAACCAGCAATCCAATCCGCGCAGCAGCAAACCGCAACGTGGAGGCAAGAAATTCAACCCGGTGAATCGACTCATCGAAAATGATTTGATTCGCCACGTGAACTTCGACACCTACCGCGACGAAGTTCGCAAAGTGTACGGCGGCCCACAAGGAGCGTTCCTGGCCACGGCCAGCCTGCTTTCGTTGCACTCGCCGCTGAGCGAACGTTGGTTGAAGAAGCGTCTCTTCGATGTGTCGAGTGCGAAGAGCATTCTCGATGTTGGCAGCGGTGCCGGACAAATCGCCCTGCACTTGCTGAAGTACGCCAACCCCGAGGCTGAGATCACCTGCTGCGATCTATCTCATCCCATGTTGCGTCGCGCACGAAACCGGCTGTTCAACAAAGCCCGTGCACTGCAGCGAACGGGTCGTCGAGAAAAGTACGAGCGCTTGCCGCACGTGGAACACGTGGTGGCCGACATCTCTAAGTTGCCCTTCGCCGATGACAGCTTCGACTGCATCACCTGCGGCTATGTGCTGGAACACTTGCCCGACGCGCGACTGGGATTAGGCGAACTCTCCCGCGTGATGCAACCCGGCGGACGGTTGTTGCTGCTCACCACCGAAGACAACTTCGGCGGAGCCTGGACCAGCCGACTGTGGCGCTGCCGCACCTACAACCGCGAGGAGCTTCAGGAAATCAGCCAAGAGTTGGGCCTCACCTGGAAGCAAGAACTTTGGTTCTCCCCACTGCACAAGCGCGTGAAAGCCGGTGGGATTTGCGTGGAGATCGTGAAGCAGAGTTAGCTTCCCAATTCACGGTGGCGAATGTGCCTACCGAACTAAGCCCGTTGCGAATGCACTAACGGTGAGTTGCGCTTGTGGCGCTTCGGGTTGGCCAGGGCATGCAGCTCAATCCCGGTGACTTCAGGCCGGCAATTAAACCGGATCGGCACCAGCGCGGAAATGCCTCGGCTCACGTGCATCACCGTGGGCTGCTGATAGAACGTACCCGCTGCGTACTTCACCCCGAAACGGCTGGGGGCCACAAACGGACCGATCGGCGGGAATTGAAACTGCCCACCATGGTTGTGCCCGGCCAACATCAAGTCGAAGCCGTTCTGGCGTGCCCAGGAAAACTGATCCGGCGTGTGGGCCAACAGTAAACGCACCGGTCCACCATCCACCGCCAGAGGTGGGGCGTCTTGCAAGTTTGCCGCCGGCCCAATCCAGGGCAATTCATTTCCAGCAAGCAAGAGCTGTTCTCCGCGGACGTCGATCACCGTCCAGCGACCGCCCATGTCGATGAGCCCCGCGTCGCACAGGGTCCTTCGCACCACCGAGGCATCAACCCTGAGATCGTGGTTCCCCAGGATGAAGTAAACACCCAGCGGTGCCTTGAGCTGGCCAAGCGTATGGGGAAGCCAATCGATGCAGGGCGCCCGATCGACGATGTCCCCGGTCACCGCGATGATGTCCGACTGCAATTCATTCGTGTGTCGGATAATCTCTTCGAAGTATCGCCGCTGCAATCGTCCGCTGAAGTGCAGATCGGTCAGATGGGTGACCGTCAGCCCATCGAGCGCCTTGGGCAGCGAGCCCAGGGCGATTTTCTTCTTTGACACTTCCAGCTCAAACGTCTGGTTGAACGGCAATGCCGTGAGGAACTGGTAGTAAGCACCATCCACAGGTTTACCACCCATGTCGGAGGCCATATCAACGAACTCGGCCTGGCTACTTTGCAGCGCCGCCGGAGGACGCACGAAGATGCCCCGCAGCATCCACCACAACACAGGCCCAATGCCGAACAGGCAGCTAAACGCCACATAACCGGCAGCCCACTTCGCAGGTGTCGGCCACACCTCGCGGTTCAACAACGCTCCGCCTTCGGAGTACAACCCCCACACGCACAACAGCGGAATGACTAGGCCAATCAAACCAATGACCGTGTTCGAAACACGAACGGCCCAATGATGCCAGGCGGCCGCATGGATGTTGCAAGAAATCCGAGTCAGAATGCCAATGTGACCTGACAGTGCAACGACGTAAATCAAGAGGTCGGTAAAGGTCATATAGGCAGAAAAGGCGAGTGAAACGTTGAAATAAAGCGAGTGATTCGGTGATGCCCCAAGCGAGAACCACTGTCCGTAATTTCGCTGCCCCTAGTTTTGCTGTCCCCACAGTCGCCGTGGAACCTAAGGGCTGATCGTCTTGACGACCGTTTCCAGCAACTGATCGAGGCGAAACGGCTTGAACAAAACCGACCGCACACCAGCCCGACGTGCGTTTACAATCGAATGCCCAGGGTCGTAGCCGAAGCCGGTCATCAAGATCAAAGGCACCTTGTCCAGCATCTTTTGCAGCTTGAGGAACAGCTCGTAGCCGGTCATGTCGGGAAGCCGGATATCGGAAATGATCGCGTCGTACTTGCTGGGGGCGACATTGCGAACCATCAGGCAAGCTTCAGCCCCGTTGTGTGAGGTTTCGACCACACAACCGTAACGCTCCAACAACGCATGTGCGGCGCCGCGGACATCGCCGTCTTCGTCAACCACCAACACCCGTCGCCCCCGAAGCTCGGCCTGCTCCCCACCGGGCACGTTCAAGGGGTAAGCCTGAGTCGGGGCCATCTTCTGGCCCACCGACTGAATCACCTGCTTGATATCCCGCGCGTTGCGAAGGATGCACTGCAATCGCGAAACGACGTCGGGGTCGTGTCCGATGTAGTTCTCCATCACGTTGACGGCGTCGTTCAGAATATCGTCCACCGGCAGGGCCACCGCACTATGAATGGCCTCAACGCTTTCGGCGGCCGTGCTGGCCTTCTCCGCGACCAGCAGTTCGAGCGTGTTCAACGCCACGGCCAGGTCGCGTGTGAAGATTTCGAGAAATTGCAGGTCACTCTCGTTGAAGGCCCGCGGCTCGGTACTCTCGACGTTGAAAGTACCAATCACCTCGTCGTGCAGTATCAGCGGAACGGTGAGCGAACTCTTGGCCCCCGCGGCCCCCTCGAAGTAGAGGGGGTCTTCCGTCGTGTCCTCGCACAGGTAGCTCTTCCCGGTGGCGGCCACGAAGCCCGTCACGCCATTCCTTTGGGGCAGTGCGTACAGCTCACGTCGGGCGGCCTCGTCTTGGATTCCCTCGGCCAGCAGCGAATCGAGCCGGCCGGTTTCGGGGTCAAGCAGGCGAATCTCGACCACGCCGTAGTTCAGCAAGTCTTTGGTGTGGTGCAGAATGTTCGATTTTAGCAGCTCAATCCGCTCCTCGACCGTCATCTGGCCCAATTCGTCGGGCTTGATGTCGGCCAAATCGGCTCCCGCCTGGTGGATCGCCGCCAGCTTTTGTTGCTGAAGCATCTCGCCCGTAACATCTCGCACCGTAACAATCAGGTGCCGGGGCGGGTTATCGGGCTCTTGCACCGCGGTGGCGTGAACCTGGTAGTACTTTCCGTCGTGAGAACGTAAAAGCGTAGAAGCCCCATTACTATTCGACGAAAGTGCCGTGTGGAACGGGCAATAATCAGGCCCCAAAATTTCGGGGCTACCCAGGGCTGAATAGAAGTTCGCCCCCACAACTTCGCGATCGGCGGCCCAAGAGCGAAGTCGCCCATTGCCCCAAATGATGGTGTTGTCGCTGTCCAGCAGGGCCACGCCGTCGGGCATGCCTTCGAGAATTTTCTCGTTCTGCAGCAGCTTTCCAACCTGGAAGGCGTCTTTCAGGTGGTCCGAACTAACATACACGCCTTCGAAATCGTTACGCCCGAGCTGAGCCAATGCACGAAGCATCGACTGAACCGTGACGACTTCGATCGAATCGCTAAGTCGGTCCAGAAGTTCTTGTTCGCGATTCTGAGCATCGCTGACAACAAGGATTTTGTTCTTTGGGGACACACACCCCTCCCCGTCAATCCCGCAACCATCCAGGGGAAATTATAAGTACAAATGCGATTTCAACAACCACCGCCCAGGGCCCTTCTTTTCCGATCGACCACCGGGCTGGGAATGTTCATTCCAGCTTGGCCGACCGCCATTTGCAGAACCTGTGGGGGGATGATTTTTCCCCTGACGATGGTTGTTCTCGTGACTTGGCTTCAGCGTCCACCCAATCGTTCGCAGGAGCATTTCGCTCCTAAACTCGATTCTTCGCACCGCCAAGCCATGCTCTGCCCCGTGAGTGAAGTGACTTTGAACCTGGCAAGAAAAGATATGCAGATTATACGGACCTCGAGCCAGGAAGGTTCCGTGTGGGGCGCAACTGGTGGCCCATTGTGTCTGTTTTGTTCTTTGGGGCGCTACTTTCCCGTGGTGCTAGGCGACACGGGCCACTTGTAGACATTCTGCGGGCCATGCAGGACGGGCGATGACACGACCGGCGTAACCCGCAATGCCACGAGGGAGGTTTCCCTCGCAGAGGTGGAGTTGCTAGCGAAGTGCTGTCGATATTCTTCCTAGGCCAGCACTCCAGGGTTTGAACGGGTTATCAAACCCCAGGGTGGCTTTCTCCCACGGAAGGAGCGCGCAACATGTTTCGAGCATTTTTTCTCGCCATTGGCATCTTCGCCTGCATTGTTGGCGGCGAGTGCCTTGCCATGGAGAAGGCCGTGTTGCGCACCCAGTCGGCCGAGCCCACATTCATGGAACGCACGCTGGGACAAACCCCAATCGGACGCCGTGAGATTGCCCCACCACCATGGGCCCCATGGAGCTTGATGGCTGGTGGCGCGGTGACGATTCTCTACTCGTTCACCATCCCGCGTCGCGTGAAAGAGTAGCTTCCCCTCGGGAATGCCTTACTGCCTAGAAGCGTTGGCCGTGGAACTGCTGCCCTCTGGCGGCGATTCCAGCTTTCGACCGCCGCTGTAGTATTCTTCGTTCATCAACGTGCCCGCCTCGTCCCAGTCGCGCCAGGTTCCGTGGCGAAGACCCCGCAGGTATTCCCGAACGGCCCACTTTTCGCCATTCTCGTGCCAGAAGGTTTGCACCCCTTCGAATTGGCCATCAACGTATCTCCCTTCGGCCTTCTTGATGCCGCTCTCGTACCACTCGGTCCAAGGGCCCTCTTCGATGCCATCTTCGAAGTTGATTTCCAACGTTTTCTGGCCATTCTCATACCAGGCTAGCTGGGTGCCGTGTTGCTGTCCTTCACGGTAGTTGTATTCGGCCTTCTTCAGGTTTTCTTCGTTGTCGAAGTATTCGGTCCAAGAGCCTTCGATGGCCCCATTGTGATAGGTGCCTTCGCTCTTTTTCTTCCCGTTCGCATAGAAAGTCTTGGCCTCGCCCTCGGCAGTGCCATTGGAATAGTTCACCGAGTTGATCAGTTGCCCGTTGAGAAACCACTCCTGAAACAGGCCGTCGCGTTGACCTTGCGCGTAATTGGACTCGACGTTTAGCTGACCACTGGGATACCACCGGCGTTCGAACCCATGTAAAACGCCATGATCGTAGTGCTGTTCGAGCTTATCTGTGCCCGAGGGATACCACTCGTGGTACTCGCCGTGCAGATCGCCCTCGTCGTACTCCGCTTCGACGATTTTGGTTTCAGCAGCAATGCGCTCGATTCGTTTCCCGTGCCGTAGGCCATCTTTGTAGTTCGACTCGAGAAATACCACGCCGTTACGGCTCAGATGCAGCTCGGTTCCTTCGCGCTCGCCGTTCTTATAATTCCCTTCGGCCTTCTTCTCGCCACTGGCATACCACTCGGCCCAAGGACCGTGAAGCACATCGTTGTGAAATCGCCGCTCCAGTTCCGGCTCGCCCGAGAGGTGATACCGCACTTCCTTGCCATGGCGAATGGCGTTGCCCTCGGCATCGCGAATCACTTCCCGCTCGACCCGCAGGTTCCCGTTATTGAAGTAATCGCGCTGCACCTCCACCTCAGGCTCAGCCTGAGCCAAAAGCACGGTGCCGGCCATCAATACACTGTAAAGAATATGCACGGGTAGACTCACTTTGAGATTGAATCTCTAGGCCAGTTTTCTGTTCCAACCCCACGCCTGATGGTGTGCGAGCAATCGCCCCCATCCAGTGGGCAATTCCCATTACGGGCGAACGCCCCGGGAATCCTTCAATCCTGCATGACAAGTATAGGTTGAGCTGTGCAAGCTCACTCGCCCTCGCGGAGCGAATCGAAGTAATCTTTGGCGTGGTCGCGTAACCCGCGGGGAAGACGCTGCCCGGTGAGCGGATCGGAATCGTCGGTGGCGGCCTGCTCGTATTGCTCGCGAACCGACTCGGCGACTTCGCCCTTGGCGTTTGGTCCGCCGACCATGCCGGTCACCACGGCCGAGCCTTTGCCCACCTTCTGCTTGACCTGCGAATCGTAGAACGCGGTGTCGTCTTCTTCCTCAGGCCGATCGCCTTGGCCCTGTCCTTCGCCCAAGCCCTGGCCGGGCTGGCCGTCTTTGCCTTTTCCCCGCCCCTGGCACATCGCACAACCTTCGCCGTCGCAGCCTTTGCAGTCCATCGAGTCTTTGGCGTCGGCGATCTGGTCCATGATGTCGTCTAGCATTTCGAGCTCATCCATCTCGGCCTGCATTTGGGACAAGTCGCCGGCCATCGCCGACAACGCATCGGCTGCGTTCTGGGCCTGACCTTGTTGCATGCACTGGGCGCACTGAGCCATCTGGTCGGCCAACTGCTGCATCTGTTGCTGTTGTTGCTGCTGATTGCGAAGCTTCTGCAGTTGCTGCTCGAGCTGGTCGGCCTGTTGGTTATTGCCGGCGGCCCGTTGCTGTTTGATCTGCTCTTCCAGAGCCTTCTCGCGTTCCTTCTGTTTCTCAACCATCTCCTGCAGCTTTTCGCTCATTTTGGAAAGCTGATCGCCGAGGGCCTTCTTCTCCTCCTCGGTGAGTTCGCCCTTCTCAATCTTCTCGCGAAGCTTGTTCAGTTCTTCCACGGCTTTGTCGAGGTTGCCACGCTGCAGTGCGTCGGCAAATTTCTCGGCCGGGCCCTTCCCAATGTCGTTCATGTCGTTGAGCCGCTTCTTCAGTTCGCCGGCCCCAAGCTTCTCGCGACGCTGTTCGACTTCGCGGTTCAGGTCGTTCAGCTTGACCAGGGCTTTCCGCTTATCGAGGTCCTTATCTTTCTCGATATCCCGGGTGCCCTTCTCCAGGTCGCGGAACAACTGCTCGGCATCTTCAAGCCCCAACTCTTCGGCCTCGCGGCGCCGCTCTTCCAACTTGCGACGCAACGTCTCCGACGATTTCTTGACTTGCTTCTTCGCCTCAACCGCCGCCGTAGTGGTGGCCTCAACCGGCGCGGGATCGACCCAAGGTTCGACGAACACGATCAGCAACACGGCCAGTACGGCCGGCGCCAAAGGCAACAGCGACCAACGATTGAGCCGCACGACGAACCGTTCGTTAACCTGCAACTCTTCCGCCCGTTTCGCTGCGTCGCTTAGTAGCGCTTGCCCGACGGCCGACTCCCGGTCGGTTTCGCCCAAGCTCAGCGCGCTGGAGATACGTTCCTTCAAACCGAAGCGGCGATCCAGCTCGATGGCCGCGGCCAGATGACTCTGCCGATGAACCCAGGTCCAGCCGATCGAGGCCGCCAACCCGGCGACGAGTGCCCCGGCGATGGTCCAGGCGGCATTCAACCCAAAGTTCCAATACTTATCCGCGGCAATCGCCACCGCGGCTGCCAACAGCGTGGCGAACCAGCACCAGGAGAGCACCACCAGAAAACGCTGCACGTTCAAACGCACCTGCGCCCGTCGCACCTGCCGCTGAAGAGATTCCATCGCAATGATTCCTCTCAAGAGTTCCAGGGCCCCCGACGCAAACCCCAGCCGGAAGCCCCCACCTTCAGGTCCTTCTAATAATTTAACGAATTCCAAACCAAATTGGTTCCCAAACTCGGGCGGAATTCACGAAATGGGGCCATTTCACCCTCCCGCTAAGGTGCGGTGACCACGGTTGTTAAGTTGGGATGGGGTATATCGTTACCTGTTCTCGCCCGTTTGCGGTTATAGAATAGGATAGAGTCCGGTAACCGCCCCCAGTCGAACGTGTGTTCTCATGGCCACGACAAACGCAGAACCCAAAGCCACGACACCGCTCCCCTCGCCGGAAGAACGGCCGGGGGCGGATGTGGTGATTTATGACGGGCAGTGTCGGATCTGCACGGCTCAGGTGCAGCGGCTGGCTCGTTTTGATGGCGGCCAGCGATTGGCCTATCTGTCGCTGCACGATCCGGAGGTCGCCCAGCGGTACCCCGATCTTTCGTACGACGACATGATGGCGGCCATGTATGTGGTCGACCAGCAAGATGGGCGGCACCGTGGGGCCGACGCGGTGCGGTACCTCTCGCGAAGGTTGCCCCGGCTGTGGTGGCTGGCCCCGCTGATGCACATCCCTTTCTCGATGCCGCTGTGGCGGTGGATGTACTCCCAGGTGGCCAATCGTCGCTACAAGTTCGGTCGCATCGAAGAAGCCTGCGATGGCGGAACCTGCCATCTGCACGGACACTAGCACCGCACGGTCGCTCGCTGTGCTGGTCCGCTCAACCTCTCCCGTTTGGCGAATGCTGAGTGAATCTCTTAACAATCGCCCAGCATGGGCAAATCGCCCGTTTTGGGTGGCCAAACGCTGATCTTTGTGCCCTCGGGACGAACCGCTAGAATGCGGACCGATAGCGTGGGGCCGCCGTGCCACTCGCTGTTTTCACTGCGTTTCAGGTCGGTGCTTTCGCCATGCGACCGTTCATTCCTCAGCCCGTGCGATGGTACGGCCAGCGATATTGGTTTCCGCAAACATGAGCGACTTCCGCGAAGAAAAAGATTCGATGGGCGTGGTGAAGGTTCCCGCCCAGGCCTACTACGGCGCCCAAACCCAACGAGCCGTTGAGAACTTCCCCATTTCCGGCCTGCGATTGCCGCCGGCGTTGGTGCGAGCCATGGGGCTGGTGAAGTGGGCCGCCGCTGTGGCCAACCGCGACTTGAAGAAGCTTACCGGCACCGGCAAGAACCCGCTGAACGACAAACAGGTCGAAGCCCTGCTGGCCGCCTGCCGCGAAGTGTACGAAGGCAAGCTGGCCGATCAGTTTCCCATCGACGTCTTCCAAACCGGCTCGGGCACCTCGAGCAATATGAACGTGAACGAGGTGATCGCCAACCGCGCCATCGAAATGATGGGCGGCGATCGGATGAAGGCCGAAAAACCGATCCACCCCAACGATCATGTGAACATGGGGCAAAGCACCAACGACACCTTCCCTACGGCAATCCACGTGGCCACGGCGCTCGAAATCTCAAACGATCTGCTGCCGGCCCTCGAGCGGTTCGCCGCCGACCTGGCCAAGAAAGCCAAAGCCTGGGACGACATCATTAAGATCGGCCGCACGCACCTGGCCGACGCCACACCCTTGCGGCTGGGGCAAGAGTTCGGCGGCTTCGCTCGACAGTTGGAACTCTCCGTCGAGCGTGCCCGTCGTGCGTTAGATGCCGTGCTCGAACTACCCGTGGGCGGAACCGCCGTGGGAAGCGGGATCAACACGCACCCCGAGTTCGGTCCCCGCGTAGCGAAGGCCCTGGCCCAAGAAACCGACATCGCCTTCATCGATTCAGTCAACCACTTCGAAGGCAATGCCCAACGCGATGGTCTCGTAGAATGTCACGGTCAACTCAAGACCGTAGCCAACACGCTGTTCAATGTGGCCAACAACATTCGCTGGCTGGGTTCCGGCCCACGCTGCGGGTTCTACGAAATCAAAATCCCTGATCGCCAGCCAGGTAGCTCCATCATGCCTGGCAAAGTGAACCCCGTGATGTGCGAAAGCATGATGCAGGTTTGCGCCCGCGTGATTGGCAACGATCAAACCATCACGCTTAGCGGCGCCACCGGCGGACAGTTCCAACTGAACATCATGATGCCGGTGATGGGACACACGGTGCTGGAAAGCATCAGCATGCTGGCCGGTGCCTCTCGGGCGTTCGTCGACTTCTGCCTGGAAGGCATGGAGCCCAACCGAGAAGCATGCGAGGCAGCCGTGGAGAAGAGCTTGTCGATGGTGACCAGCTTGAACCCCTTCATCGGGTACGACAAAGCCTCGGCCCTGGCGAAGGAGGCATTCCGCTCGGGCAAGACCATTCGCGAACTTTGCGAAGAGCAAAACATCCTGCCGCCGGAGCAACTCCGCGAAGCACTCGACCCAATGAGCATGACCGAACCGCACGCATGATGGACGTGGGTGCGAAACTAAGCTAATCGAAAGTCTGATCCGATTCGCGTCGTTTTCTCACCAGCGGTGGGGGTGGGCGACACGTTCAAACCGCATGGAGGTATACGCAATGGTTCAATGCGAGAGGTTGACCATGAAACGAATCAGCATCTTGGTGGGATTCTGTTTGGCACTCGCTTCGGTGCCCTCGGCGTTCGCTATCGCCCAGGACACACCGGACGATCCAGTCGCCACAGTTCAACGGGCCCACGCCCTGACGAAAGCGGCCGAGACGATTGAAGACTACACCAACATCATCAACCAATGCGAAGCGGCATTAGCCGCCGGGTTGAATGAGCAGTGGATCGATTACACCAACCGGCTGCTGGCCTGGACCTACGACAACCGCGGTGAACTGTACGCCGAGCAAGGGCAAGAAGCCGAAGCCTTTGGCGACTTCTCGCTGGCCACCAAGTTCGACCCCACGCGGTGGCAGGCCTTTCACAACAGGGCCGTCAGCAACGCCATGATCGGCCGCTACGAAGAAGCCCTGGAAGACTTCTCCCGCACCATCGAGCTGAATGACTCTTATGGCGATGCCTTTTTCAACCGGGGCGAAGTGCTATACGAACTCGGTCAGTACCAGGAAGCCTTGCAGGATTACAATCGAGCCGCACAGCTCATGCCCCGTGACTCAGCCGTGTTTAACAGCCGCGGCCACACTTACTATCGCCTGGGCGACTATCAAGCCGCC